AGTGAACAGGAGTGGCTCTCTTGGCCTTTGTGGGATGGAGAGCCTAGGAATGGCCAGTAGGAAGAAGAGGGAAAGCCTAGGAATGAGCTGTCCCTCTGCAACTGTTGACCCCAGTTGCACCAATTCAGGGTGTTGCCCTAATGTTGACTGTTTGCTCTGGCATTTTGATTAAGGAGGGTTTCATCTCCTGAGCCTGCTGAATGCCTTCCTTTAGACTCCGTCTACGGCTACTCACCTCTCTCCTACCATGACCCCCTTATTTTATAAAATCTATATTTAGAGATGCGAAACATTGACAGTATGCCTTTAAATAATTTGTGAGAACAATAACAAGCATTTCTATACCCTTTTTAAGAGGTAAGAAAGATACTAATTAATTTTCTAATTTCTCCGAACAAAATGTTATCTTATGAAATAAATGTTTAAAAAGCAATGAGGATATAAATGTGTTTGAAGGTGAACTTACTTGTTCAAGAGGGATGTAATCATCATTTTCACCAAAAATGAAGAATGTGGGGTGGAGCAAACTGTATCTATCCTCAAAGTACTTAATTACTCCTAGAAAAATTAAATACATTTAAAATGTTTATAGTGAGCAATTTAAAATGGTTAACCCTAAATCAAAACATGAAAGTTACAGATGGAGACATGGGATCTGAACTTCCTCTCTTCCAATGCTGGGGAAGTGAGGCTCCACATCCAGTGTCTTGGCCCAGCTCTATAACTGGTCTACCTGGACCTGCACTGGCAAAAAAAACCATACACGTATTTCCCCATCAGTGCAGTTACACTAGTAACAACAATGGACAAGTCTGTGTTGTAGACAAGCATTTTTACCACCGTGTTGTCTAACCTTGGGTTGGATGGCTAACCTACAACTTCCATCATTGATACCCCTGCTGGAGCTGTAGTGGTGGGGAATTACTGACCTGACTTTTGCCAGGGTAGACATACACTGCAACCCTGAACCCAAAGATCTGTGGGAACATCTGATTCAGGTCCTGTTCAAAATCCATACTTCATGGCTTGGATCAATCTTTTGTGAAAATTGTATGTATTACATTAAGCCTTGAGTGCGTTCCTGGCATTTTGCCTCACTGAAAAAGCCTGCAGATCTAGTGTTGACACAGACCAAATGGTTGAGACACAGTTGTGCTGAATGTGATGTGCCTTTATCATCAGTTAGAAATGGTATAAGAATCAGCATGCTGTAGCAGACTATACAAAGTTGATTTCATCGTTTTTTTCTGTTATGAAAGCTTCATAGATATAGGGCTACAAAGATGCATATAAGCATTCATAATTATATATACATGTATGATTTCAATTTAAATATATTCAGAAATATTAATACAAATCACTAGGCAATCTATATTGTATTTGTATTTTACTATTTATTTACATTTAAAGAACAATAAAAAATCCACAGAAAAAGCTCTACATGCTCTGACAATTAATTAGACGTACATTCACAAGTGATGACCACAGAGCAACAAAAATAATCATATGGAAATAATTAATTAACTTGGCTGACCAACAAATCAAAGCAGCAAAATGACCTTTTAAGGCCCCCAGGAAGTTGTCCCAGCTTTCCCCATAATCCATAGCACATAAATTAAATTGCTATGGATCATATACAGTAATAGTTAAACTACATGCTATATTTATGTATGTGAGTCAGCTCAAGTTTACATGCATTTTAAACTTACCATATATGGCCACCCCAGTTTTTAATTCAGGATTTTTCAGCATCAAGTGATGTACAGCCGTTCCACCCCAGCAAAATCCAATGACACCGATCTTCTTTGCACTGCATTGCTCCTTTAGATACCTCAAGACAACATCAGCTTCCCTAACACATGTAAAGAAAGGTGAATTAAGGAATCTAATAGCACTCCCTGGAAAACTGGAAAGAAAATACAATTGGTTTATAAAATAGTCATTCTAATTTTGTTTAGGTTTTTAGTATGTTCTTGGAACACAACAACTCCAGAATTTAAACTGCAGTTTTGAAACATGAGTTGGCAACTATATGAAATACATGAATATTGAATGGAATTAGTTCATCCTAGAGAATAAAACAGCATAATGCACGAATAACATACTGAATGTGTAATGAGGTGCAATCAGAACAATCTTTTACTTTACATGTATTAGTGGTTAGAATTTTAATTGATTCAATATATACAAATACAGTTGGACAAAGGACCAGATTTCTTATCTTATCAATTAACATTAATAAAATTTAAGTGCAACCCATTCAAGAGAACATCATTTATGATCACATTATTAAAAATGATAGCTTGAACTGTTTCAAGGGAAGTAAACATTGCATGAAGTCAATACATTTTGAAAATGCTGAATGAAATTCAGCAGTGAAGTAATAGATGTAAATGGTAAAAAAAACAAGTTTAAGTGACTAGTAGAGTGGCAGTGTAACTTACACTGATCTGGGACTTCATGGGTGTGCAATACAAATGTAAGTTACACCAGCTTGGTAGTCTTTAGTGACGCTAGGAACCATGGGGGCAGTGTGACCTAAGTTAAAGCAGGCTTCTCCTACTTTAACTTATCTCGCCGCCTTTTGATAGGGTTCCCCGCCTCCTTTCCTTCGATGGCTCCATCTCCACTCCTGACATGTATAAATTATAGTTGTTTAGCACACCTGCTAAATGTCACTACTTTGCCATTGACTCCACCATTTACATAACTACTAATTTGACCCACAGATTTCCATGGGATTTGTGCTTTCTTACTCCAAGCTGCATCTGGTCCATCATGTTTTAGGACTTGATCCTGGAGTCCTTACAAGGGCAAATCTCTTATCAATGAGAGCTATGTACACATGCAGTCTACTAAATATACATCTTACCTGTCTACCTTGCTGGCATCTCGAGTTTTCAGCCAGTCATTAAAGGTGGACCAGTCATCAGAAGGTTCCCAAGGTTTTTGTCCCACAAAGAAGTCTGGGCAGATGGCTCTATATGAAAAAGTAAAACAATTTTAGGTCCATAGAATAGCAATAAGGAATAATTATGGGACAGTCTGTGTATTTTAATGTGCATTCATTCTATTTATTCCATGATGATCACACACAATTATTATACAAATCTGTTCCCATTACTTGTCTAAATCTAATAAAATGATTTGAGAGAACTTCCAGAGCATGGCAGTTTACTTTGACCTATTAGACTTTGTTAATTAAGGACTCTGATGAGCTATCAACTGTTATTAAAATACCCTAAGAACTGATTATCAGTTTTGCAGATATTCTACAATTCCCAAGAATATAAATTTGAGCTTGAAGTAATGTTAACCTAATATTGTGAGTCAATGTTTTTATTATATTTCTGAATACAGTACTCTTATAGGGCCTGAGTCAGCACTTCATACTCAGGCAAAATTCTATTTTTCTTCACTAGGACTTTTGCCATTATAAGTAATACTAATTAGGACCAACAAGTACAAGGCTGTTTAAAAGACACTACAGATATTTTAAATAATATCTCAGAAACTTGAAAAATCAGATGTTTGTTTTTGCTTTTCTTCTTTCCTTCTTTATGCATCTACACACTAGCTAATTATTGTAAGTAGGGCTGTCAGGCGATTAAAAAATTAATCGTGATTAATCACACTGTTAAACAATAATATAATCCCATTTATTTAAATAGTTTTGGATATTTTCTACATTTTCAAATATATTATTTCAATTACAACACAGAATCCAAAGTGTACAGTGCTCACTTTATATTTATTTTTATTATAAATATTTGCACTGTAAAAAACAAAAGAAATAGTATTTTTCAATTCACCTAATACAGGTACTATAGTGCAATCTCTTTATCATGAAAGTTGAACTTACACGTGTAGAATTATGTACAAAAATAACTGCATTCAAAAATAAAACAATGTAAAACTTTAGAGCCTACAAGTTTACTCAGTCCTACTTCTTGTTCAGCCAACCGCTCAGACAAACAAGTTTGTGAGAACAGGCATTCACATGGCACTGTTGTAGCTGGTATTACAAGATACTTATGTGCCAGATGCACTAAAGAGTCATATATCTCTTCATGCTTCAACCACCGTTCCAGAGGACATGCATCCATGCTGATAACGGGTTCTGCTCGATAACCGTCCAAAGCAGTGTGGACTGATGCATGTTCATTTTCATCATCTGAGTCAGATGCCATCAGCAGAAAGGTTGATTTTCTTTTTTGGTGGTTCGGGTTCTGTAGTTTCCACATCAGAGTGATGCTCTTTTAAGACTTTTGAAAGTATGCTCTACATCTTATCCCTCTCAGATTTTGGAAGGCACTTCAGACTCTAAAACCTTGGGTCGAGTGATGTAGCTATCTTTAAAAATCTCGCATTGGTACCTTTTTTGTGTTTTGTCATATCTGCAATGAAAGTATTCTTAAAACGAACAACATGTGCTGGAACATCTTCCGAGACTGCTATAACATGAAATATATGGCAAATGCGGGTAAAACAGAGTAGAAGACATACAATTCTCCCCCAAAGGAGTTTAGTTACAAATGTATTTAATGCATTATTTTTGTAACGAGCGTCATCAGCATGGAAGTATGTCCTCTGGAACGGTGGCCGAAGCATGAAGGAGCATATGAATGTTTAGCATATCTGGCATGTAAATACCTTGCAATAATGGCTACAAAAGTGCCATGCAAATGCCTGTTCTCACTTTCAGGTGACATTGTAAATAAGAAGCTGACAGCATTATCTCTGGTAAATGTAAACAAACTTGTTTGTCTTAACGATTGGCTGAACAAGAAGTAGGACTAAGTGGACTTATAGGCTCTAAAGTTTTACATTGTTTTGTTTTTGAATGCAGTTATGTAACAAAAAAAATCTAATCTGTAAGTTGCATTTACATGATAAAGAGCGGTGGTGGGCAACCTGCAGCCCACGGGCCACATGCAGTCTGTCAGGGTAGTCTGCTGGTGGGCTTCCAGACAGTTTGCTTACATTTGCATGGCCGCCCACAGCTCCCAGTGGCTGCGGTTCATCCTTCCCAGCCAATGGGAACCGCAGGAAGCGGCAGCCGGCACGTCCCTGCAGCCTGCACCACTTCCCGTAGCACCCATTGGCCAGGAATGGCGAACAGCAGCCACTGGGAGCTCCGGGCGGCTGTGCAAATGTAAATTAACTGGTTGGCGGCCCGCCAGCGGATTACCCTGACAGGCCGCAGGTTGCCCACCACTGATAAAGAGATTGCACTACAGTACTTGTATGAGGTAAACTGAAAAATACTATTTCTTTTGTTTGCCATTTTTACAGTGCAAATATTTGTAGTAAAAATAATATAAAGTGAGCACTGTCAATTTTGTATACTGTGTTGTAATTGAAATCAATATATTTAAAAATGTAGAAAAACATCAAACGTAATATATTTCAATTGGTATTCTACTGTTTAACAGTGCGATTAAAACTGCGATTAATCGCAATGAATTTATTTAATTGCCATTGATTTTTTTGAGTTCATCGCGTGAGATAACTGCAATTAATCGACAGCCCTAATTGTAAGGTTACTCACTAGTGATCAGCTACTTGCACTGTTTTAAAATTATGACATATGTCTTTAGAAAAAACACATGCTAGCAAAGTCTTTGAAATTCTTCATACATGTGTGGTTTTAAAAAAAAGTCGATAACATTTTTGGCCTAGCAACTTTGACAATGTCTCTTTAGGAAGAAAACATTAAGATTGCTTACATGTATCCATTAGCTGCAAGCATATCAGCCATGTATCTGATATTTGGAAGTTGCCATCCAAATATATCTTGAATCACAATCACAGCTTTTTCCGTGCTGGTAGATGGTTTGCAAACATACGCCTTGACGTGCTCAACTTGCACTTCATGCCCAAGGTCCCCATACTCAAACCTGTCTCCAATGTCACATGGGCAAGGTCTCGCTTCATTGGCCATCTGGGATACAAACATGGAAAGGACTAAAGATATTAAACTATTAATATTTAAGTACACACACAGAAAATGTCCGAATGCAATGTGGTAATGGCACCGTAAAATATGGAATCTATTAATAACGTTAGGCATATCATTGATTTTAGGCATGAACTTCTAATACTTGTCAAACAGCAGAGTTTTTGCTGTATTTCACAGAGAGCTTTAATTTGGTTACTTAGCATATATGTACTTGGGGGCAGGGAACCAGCTTTTTGATTTGTGTTTGCACAGCACCTAGGTTAATGGAGTCCTGGTCCATGACTAGGGTTCCTAGGTGCTTGTTAATACAAATAATAAAACAATGAACAAAATTAAGAATAATATCGCCCTAGATAAGATCATCACAAACTGCTGTTGTGATGTAGTACGTTTTTTTCCTTCTTTTCTGTGATGTACTCAGTAACTCATAGTATAGATTAGTCTAGTAGTTTTAAAGTTTTGATATGTGACACAGTGCTTTGGAAGTGAATAATCTTTTATGAGCAAGTAAAGATACATTCATAGTTTTGATTAAACGTAAGACATTTTTATGGCAAGACTTAAAGCTATCTAAAACATTCTGTAACGGGCCCTTTCAGTTTAAAGAAGTTACACTGCTAAAGCAACTTCAACCCCAGGTGTTACAGGTACTTTGAAGAAAGGTGTTTATTTTATATATGGAATGTGATCAATAAGAACATACCTAACAAATATTTCACAAACTTTTTACGTATTATAAAAGTGATACATTCTGCCGGTATGGTAAAAAACTCGTGTGAAGTGAAAATCTTTAAGGTGAACAAAAATGTTATAGGAATGAAGTGACCACAAGGCCTGGTTAACTGCTAATTAGCTATTATACAGAGAGAGGTCAGCATATACAAGTGACTCAAACAGAGTAAAGAGAACAGAGCTGATACAGAGGTTTATACAGCTGTTTTGTCTTACTATTTCATTAAGTTAATGGCTACAGTCTACTAGTGTCTGACCAACCAAATGAATCAAATGACTTTATATTGCTGCAGAATGTTTCAAGTGATCCATATAAATCACTGCAGTGTGGACTGAATAGTTTACAAACTATTAAACAATGTGGAGAGATTTTACATAAAATTCAGTATGAACTTTAAAATGGACATGTTGCAAAGGCATAAGAGCACTGACAAAGAACATACCGCCTGGTACATAAAAGTAGATGTGTAAAGTTGATTACACTAAGTATGCTCATGGAAACCATCCTGTGGAGGCAGGTTGCTGACCAGGCCCTGGTATAGGATGGTCTAAATAGTTGTCTGTCCAAATGCAAAACTGAGGACAAAAAAGTCTGCATACCCATATGACCAGATGATTTACACAAATTGGTATGACCCAAGAGGTTTTGTACCTATGGACTTCAAATTCCAGTAACACAAACCACAAGCAGTGAACAGTTCCAAGAGTAAAAAACACAGCATTTGTTCTGTCTTTGGATGGCGAGAAGGCACAGGACTTGTACTCTGATAGACCACTTCAAAACTTAGTAAGAAGTATCAGTGGTATGTTGTTTGATTCACATCAGCTTTTCAAATGGAGAAATTCATTGGATTAACTCAACTCTCAATCAGAAACATGCCCTTCTGCTCACGGCAGGGGGGGTATGGGTAGAGAGAGTGCGGGGACCCCATCTTTGCTCCGTCCTGCCCCAATTCCACCACCTGCCCCCGCCTCTTCTCCGCCTCCTCCCCCGAGCACGCTGTGACCGCACTCCTCCCCCTCCCTCCCGGAGCGCTGGCAAACAGCAGTTCGGCGGCGGGGGAAGCACTGGGAGGGAGGGGGAGGAGTGGGAACGCGGCACGCTGGGGGAGGAGGCAGAGAAGAGGTGGGGGAGAGGAAAGCTTGGCTGCCACTGGGTGCGAGACAGAGGTGGGGGGCGGAGAAGAGCTGGCGGGGCCTTGGACTGCAGCCCAAGCAGAGCGGGCCAGGCTGGGGCCCCTTTGGAGCCTGAGCCTGGCGCCATGGCACCAGTGATGCCATTGTAAACCCAGTACTGCCCTTCTGCCTGTCAGAGTTGGCAGCAACAAGGGTCGGGTTCAGTATCTAGGGGTTCCTTTTCAATAACATAATGCAAAACCGGTTTGAGCCCCTGCCCAGTGACCTGGGACAATTACGTACCGCCCCCTGGGTGCCTCTAAGAGGCAATACTTCCCCTCTAACAAGCACAGAGTCTGAGTGTAGCAAAAGCCTTTTAATAAATGTGGGAAACAATGTGGCATTATGTTGGAGAAACACCAGAAACAGGATTCATAACACAAACCGTGAGCAAAAGATCCACCTCAAGTAAGTTGGGCAGTGTCCTTTTCCCCTCAGGGTCTTAAGTCCAGCAACCCAAAAGTCACGCAACTCACTGATGCTGTCCTTGGTCAGTGCAGCCCCAGAGTTCAGAAGTTCATCTGCAGAGCTCACCTCCCAGCATGGGTGAAAGGGAGGGAGGTATGGAGGCACCTTACCCTCTCTGCTACTTGGGCCCTCAACAGCCGATTGCCATGCCTCT